CTTAAAACAAAAACAAAAAAAAAAAGGTTATGAGTGTTTTTTCCCAACCAAACTTTCCTCTCTGTCGGTGCTACTGCCCTACAGGGAAGAAAATGACCGATTTATTCAACGATTTGACGAGAAGAGAAACGAATTTCAAGATGGCGGCCTTTTAATGTTTGCCATATATTTACTCAGGGAACTCGATCTCAACAACGATGGAGTTCAAATAGACAACGAATAATAATGATGATAGACTTTCTGTCTCGATAGAAAAGTTTAATTTGAAATAAACGTCTGGGATGAGCTGCTTCAACGCTGCCGAAAACAGTTTCAAACGCTTTCGGCGTGGGAGCGACTCCTGGATTCAGTTTAGTGTTGACATTGTTATCCATTTAATCGTATTTACACGATGAGCACAGTGTAGTAAACTACATATCACCCTTGCATACCCAATCTAAAATCACATTTCTTGGCTGGGTCTACATCACCAGGAAACTTTTTCAACGCTAGGCGAAAAAAAAGGCATCTGCTCGCTTAACTGACTGCCTCCCAAATCAAGGGTTGATATACCAAATTTCTAATATAAGCGAATCGGTCGTGAAAAATACTCTACTATGACAACCCTTTCACTAAAGTAATATGAACGCAACAACAGAATGAATTTTTCTAAAAATAACTTGTGATTCCTTGCAAAGCTATCTGAAATACATTTGCAAGCTGGAAATTTCTCATATCGACTTGTTTAAGAGCGGCGAGAAACCTTTTGGACTTGAACCCGATACAAAAAATTAGTTTCAAGACGTGCGCCAAAGTGACACTCTCGCAATAGTGACTCGCTTTATATACTGTCCACGACTCCTCATGCTTTTGCTGTGAGCAAATGCATAGCAACATATAACAAAACTAGGCTTTCCTAGTTCCGCTTTAAAAATGACCACAAACGATAACTTTTTGTAGTACAAAACAGGCAGTCAAGAGCCTTCAAAGGCTACAACAAGGAGTGGAATTATAAAGCCTGAGACAACAGGAAATGACCGGCTTGTTGACAAGGGTCTTTGCCATAATGAGGACTTGAGCAGGACTCCGTTCTCTTCCATTTGCAGTAGCTATGCAAGAGACTACTTGCATGTGATTCCAGAGTTAGCCTCCACAGCAATACGGGGGTGTTTACATGGCATTCGCATGGCCAGAAATCCCGGACATCGCGAGGGCGCACGCGCGGATTTACTTGGCAATATGGCCGCCAAACTCTTAAAGTGTATATGATACAATTTTTTTTCCCGCTGATTCGGGTAGTTGATAATGTTAGAATAACGACTGTAAAGTTCTTAGATCTTGAGAATATTTTGAAAACCCTTTTTTTCGTTCAAAATGCGCGCTACTTTCATGTCGAAATTGTCCAAGAGATCGCACGGCCAAAATGAAGTCACTGTTTGATGAACATACTTTCTGAAGAATTCAGTCTCACTACTTTCCGAATCGCTAGACATAACCAAATTAAACAGTGCGGGTGGAAAATGAGCTTTAAATCACTCGCACATTGGAAGCCCCGAGCAAGAGAAATTAGGAGGCGCCTGCGCGACAGCGATGTTATCAAACATTGTGACGTAACAAGCCCAATTATCATCCCCCGTTTCCTGGGACACTTTTATATGGAAATTGGTGGTATTTCGGCCTCAAAAAAATCATCCAAATAATTTTTTTCGCGTAATCGAATCATTTTTCATTTATTACATATATCAAGAAAGGAAAATACTTAAAAAAAAGATTGTGTCATTTACACTTTAAAGGAAATGTATGGCAGAAATAAAAGAAAATAAAATAGAGCAAGTTCTGGCTTACCTGGAACAAGTGCCGCAATCCTGTGGAAATCTTGAAAGTTTTCTCGGCTATCCTGACTAAGTTACTTTCACCGACAAACGTTACTGGCCCTGCTTTTAATTGATGTTTATTTTCGAAGCTTGGCTCATACAACGCTCTGTATTTCAGAAGCTTGAAATCCAATTTTTGCAGCTGAACCAGATTTTGATGTGCCGTAGCGGTCAACATAATCGGTATAGATCAAGTACCCCAATCGCTTGAGGAAGAGCACCGTATGAGGTACTATTTTACCAAGTCTCTGTAAAAACAGTTTAAAGAAGCACAAATCAGTTCCGTGACCGAAAGCAAAGAAATCAAATGTCACGCGAGCATCTCGTCTGTGTTGATCCGAGAACCAAATGTCGTATTCTTGCGCAAAAAACTCGTATTTTGCAGCAAACTCTGCAATGTTTGGTATCCAAATTTTTAGTGAAAAACAAGCTTTCTAATGCTGTAAGGGACTCTAGGATATGCCTTAAGCTGAAAAGTTGTAAAGTTGGTCAGCAAACATAACGATGCAGCTTCAAATATTCGCGGAAAAAGAAAATATATTTCCTCTCTACCTTCGCCACTTTGTACCGGAACTTTCTTAACTATTTTATTGCAATATTTTAGAATTCTCAACGGTTGGATGAAATATGTCAGACAAGTTTAATTTACTTGATGTGGAGAAGTTTAAGAACGCTGTTAGTGTCGGGAATGATCGTTGCTTAAAATATGTTCGCTAGCAAAGGGTCTCCTCTGAATTTTCAGCGGATAACTTAGTCATCGCCGGATCACCTCTGAACGACCTCGCAGAACAAGAAAGGCCCTCCCTTCGTTATGTAAGTAACCATTTCTTGTTTGACACATCGGTGTTTTCGCTCGCATTGTTATTTCACTGTTCCGCTTGGAGACACACGGTTAAACAATACTCGCGTGCAAGGAGTTAAGATTTAACATATTAACTTTTACAAACTTTTACTATTTTTATCATCCAATGACAGGTCGGAACCATTCCTGTATTTAGTCGCTAGTGGATTTTCTCGAAGACGCCATGTTGCCTCATTAGCGTAAATTCATTAACTGGCCCGCTGCTTATGCGTGGGCTCACATGTCCGGAGTTTCTGGCCATGCAAACTCCTGGTTGCTCCAAGAATTTCAGTATTTCGATTATGTACGTATTTTTAGTTATTGGTGATGGATCTGAGCTCGAAAAACTGAAATTTTTTTATCTTGTTTTGCAGCGGACGTTAGACCTCAATATTCATTGCCATTGAAAAGTTGGATTTTCATCTAAACACCGATCACCATGAAACTGAGACTTTTGTCTTTGAAAGGTTAGCTATCTGTGCGTAACGACTGACGCTTTGTAAAGTCATTTTCCAGTGGGTGTTATTTGCATAATATCGATTGCGGACAAAACGTGAAAAACCAGATGCGGTTGAACAGCATCATGTTCTAACATGACGAAATTTCTAGCCGTTTGTTATTCTTGTACCCTTTCACTACCAAGATCCTATTAGTAATTCTACTAACTGTTTTCCATACAATTCATCTGATGTCAGTTGGGAGAATTTGTTATTGGATCAACCAATCCCCAAGTGATAATTTTCTTTATTCTCATGACTTGTCTGCCTTAAATTGCAACGATGCATTAAGGGGAAGTTTCGTCTTGGTCAGCCAAAGGAGTTAAATAACTGTTGTGTAAACTAAATATGATCTGTTAGTTACGTGCCTCTATAGATATTTTACAGTTGATGCAACATGTTCATTCACCTGTGTCTAGGACGTGGGTTGCATATTTCAAAAGGGAGAGTAGAGAGTGCTACTTCATCCGTATTTTGTTAGAGTTTATGTGCATGTCAAGATGTTCTCAAATCATGAATTGCGGTGGATTGGTGACATGCACCGATAGACCGCCTTAGGTACAGCCCCCTTCCCTCCCCTCCTGAGGATGAAGCACTGTCGCCCCCGATTTCTGAATGACTTGAATGGAAATGAAAACTGTCATCAAACGTATTTATTAAAACATGAAAAACCGAAACTGGTTATAAATCGTAGAATTAGATCAGGAAAAAGATATTAGAAAGTTTTTTTTCTTAACCTAAAAAGGTGTATAGTGAACAGGGCATTTACTAATTTTACAACGTTTCAAAATGAATCGAAAAAAATATATGTCTGTCATAAGTACAAAATAAAAATATGTATATATGTCTATCCTAATCTCAACAAAAGGATGCAAAGGTTGAACTCCTTTCTTTCACCGTGAAATCGAAAGACTTAAAAATCACAGATTACATAGATATTTGAATATTTACGCTTTACTCCCAACAGGAAAACAACTCTTGAAAATGAAACTTTTATATTTCTTTGCAAATTTTACGAATTTAAGCGTAATTATCAAATGAGGGCCGTGAGATCCGTTGTCGATGCAAATGCAAAAAATTGAATTACGCTATCGGAAACAGTTGTCTCCTGAAGCGTTGAATACATCATTGAGTTACGGAGCGAAAGAAGGGAAAAATTGCATGTTTTCCTTTACGGCCATCCTACTTGTCTTTCCTGCAACGTCTCCAGAGTGAGCCATGAACAGTTCTGTCCGACATTTTAGCGAACGACTTGAGAGCAGAGAACCACTGGCTCAGAGAAAAGAGATGGGAAGGCTAATTAATCAATGTCCTACAAATTTGAAGTTATCTGCTTCAAGCATTTATTGGTTGTTTTGCTTTTGGAATTTGGATGGCGTAACAAGAAAACAAACAATCATGAATTCCATACTTTTGTGCTGTCTTAAGGGTGAAGTTTTTAATCATGAAGTACATTATCATAAATATTCTTTTTCTTCCATGGCCAGGGAAAACTGACATCGATCAAGGGATTTGAGTCAAGAACCATTGCTTGTTTTAATCAGTGAGTTTATTCAGAGCTGATTTACTCGGTTTTATTTTCCGTGTGTGAATTGCGTGACATCGTAACGAACCCCTCAGAAAACATTACCACTGTGACCTCCACGTGAACGGTCTTTTATTTTTATTCTTCTCACTAAGGATTTGAGATCGGATTACTTATCTATGATTACGGAGATTAATTACGAAAAGAAAGAAAACCAGTCCAGAATATTTATCTGAGGGCAATCGCAAGCGGATATACAGGAAAAGAGAGTCCATACCAAACGA